GACTCCTTCCAAAGGATTTCCGAACATATTTAGATAAATATATGACAGGAGATAATAATACTGTTGAATTTTTTTAAAAATCGTTTATTAACAAAATTATTTACAGTGCAAAATATTGAAGCATTCACTGCAAAGTTGCGGTTGACCAGGGCAGCTTGGACAAAAAGTAGTGGGTTTTCTGAGATTTGCTCGTGCCTTTGATCGTTCCAGTTCTTCTCTTTTATTTGCGTAACACCGCTTGCATGCGCGTCTAAGGCTTTTCCCCAAATTATTTCTGCGAACGGCGATGCAATGCGTATTTCGTCGAACAGAAGGCAGTGTTAAATCTTCACTCAGTCCTAGTAACTTTGCAGCAATCAGTTCTCTGAATCGTCTAATATTTACAGTTTTCTTTGTCGCAATTTTRTAAACGACCAAAGCGTTTACAATTGACGTCCCCAGTAGAAGTTCAACACCAAGCTTCCTATACCACTTGATTCCTTTCCTCATCGTCGAAGCATAGGAAACCATTTGGTCTGAATAATCTATACCACATTTACCCTTATTATATTCGAGGACGGCCAGAGGTTTGAGTCTTGCGGATGGCTGCTGGCTTGAAGAAGCAGCATGAATGTTTTTCGTGCTTTGTGTCATGATAGGAGCGTGTTTCGTAGATAATATTCTCACGTCACGTGTGTCTCTCCATTTGAGTATCACAATCCCGTTATCATCCTCTTTAGCTACCATTTCTCCCCTTCTTAGTTTGCAATTAAGAACATCTTTTGGTAYAGATTTCTTGTTATGTCTAAGTGTTCCAACTACATGAGTCTTGCGTCTTAGGCATGATATAGCTAACTCATAACTTGTATAAAAATTGTCAATATACAATGTTCTTCCTTGATCRAAAAGTTTCTCTGCCAGTTGTAGACACACATTGTTTGCCAATCCGGTTTCTCTAATACCTTCCGCTGATTTACCAGAATACATTTTCATTGCCCATGTGTATCCTTCGCTTGAACATAATTTGAATAACTTGATTCCGTACTTGTGCGCTTTATTTGGAATGTATTGCTTGAAAATGAGTCTTCCACGCCATGGAATTAACGTTTCATCGATAACAATGTYTTCTCCAGGCGTGTAAGCTTCCTGATACTTTCCTACCAATTTGTTAAAAAATGGAAGTATTTTACCAAGCCGATCATCACGGGCAATGGACATATTATCGACAAAATGAAAATTGCACAATAATAGTTCAAATCTGTTTCGTGACATAATTTGACGCGGTAGCCGGAAATTGTACAATTCGTTTTTGGCCCAATAATTGGCTATTGGGCTCACTTTTACAAGTCCCATCCACAACAATAATCCCAAAAATTGTTTTATTTCTTCAGGATTTGTTGGTTTCCATTTATGCATTCGTGAACCTGGAGWCAGCCTCGATTCATTTAGTTTTTGTTGTGCATATCTATTAGTTTCTAATACCAGCAAGTTTATGATTTCGTCATCGACGAACAACGTAAACACATCATACGGATTTATATCGTCAGGTAATTGCTTATTCAGACCGCCTGTTTCTTRAAAAGAAATTGATTTTYGCCGACCACTAAATTCACTCCATTCACTTTGTTGAACTGGAGCTTCCTCAGTATCATCAACGTTGCTTTCTTCTTCCACGACCAAATCTCGTAACATCTCGTCAATAGTATCTTCATAATATTCATTATCACTAAGATTGCATTTATCCGTATCCGTATCAGAATCTGATGATATGATACGATTYACTTTTCTTCTTTTGGGCAATCTGATCACTTCCTCATCGCTGCTATCCGAATTTGAGCAACTAGCGTGACTAGTCTTCCTTTCACTGCGATATGAATCACTGCACACTGACTTTTTCATCTTTCTCTTCACTATTGAAAAATTATGGGCAGAGATAYTAGTTGTACTACTCAGTACACGGCAAAGATTACAACTGCTCGTGCAGAGTAATAACGTGATAAATGAGGATCGTAATAGATATCGGGGTTTCTTTTTTTTTCATTATTCATTTTTTTCATTATTCATTTTTTTCATTATTCATTTCATTATTCATTCATTTTTTTCATTTCGAAAGAAATGTAAACAGACATGCGGTAGCAGAGCACGCATCTTACAGTGGCACGGGTGGCCTGACGGGGATTTTGTTGTAAACACGCGTGGCAGTCAACGTGTTAATCGT